TTTTGTTTTGTGTGTGTGTTTTATTATGGTTTTTAACAGTTCAAGAGCAAAGGTGGTTCTCAAGTAAAGGAGTATTGCTCATCTCTAACCAAAGAGGATTGCCGAGTCAAAACTGGTTCATTTGCAGCTTGTGAGAAGGTTGGTAACTAGTGTAACATTTTTTGTTGTTTTTTTCCTGTATGTCAATTTAGAATAGTATGGTTGAAATTTTGCCGAGTGATAATGCCTGTAAGTCCGTAAGTACTAGTTAGTTATCTTTAATGAAGAAAAAGGAATGGAGGATGTAATAGTGAGTACATCTAGTAGGTAGTCTTGTGGTTGATGTAGATGTACTTGGGGAAAGAATTCAGATGATAACATTTCTAGAATAATTGTACGTAAGTATCCTGGATAATGTGGAATGAGGAAGAACATTCATGTAGTTGACATCAACTGGTTTGGGATTGAGACTTAGTTAAACTGAGTCAAATTGAGTTATAAATAAGAAACTAAATCGCAACTGAGTGGCCATTTGGGCTTATTTATATCTGAAGTCATTTTATATTTATTGAACAGATCTCTTTATTTGTGATATTTGTTGAAGTCTCTAGATTTTATCATAAATATCTGTGTTATATTTGTATGTGGTAACCTTGTGTTGTTTATATTGAATACTTAATTCTATGCAGGTTCATTTTCGGCGAATAATTGCTCCACATACTGACATTAATTTAGGCGACTGTTCTTTTCTTGACACTTGCCGTCACATGAAGGTAACAATGTTTTAATTCAATTCAACCACTTTAATTTGGTTTCTCTCTTTTTTTTTTTTTTTTTTTTTGTGAGAGTGATAAACTAGTGTTTCCTTCTATATAGACATGCAAGTATGTCCACTATGAGCTTGACCCTGAGAGAGATTTACCACCCACTGTGATGGGTGCTGGAACTCTTCCTCTCTCCAAACCATTAAAGCCTCAGCGTCCTGAGTATTGTTCTGAAGTAGAACTTGGTGAACCACAATGGATTAACTGTGATATTCGTACTTTTAGAATGGACATTTTAGGACAATTTGGAGTCATAATGGCAGATCCTCCATGGGATATTCATATGGAATTGCCTTATGGGACAATGGCTGATGATGAGATGCGCAACCTTAATGTTCCTGCATTGCAGACTGATGGTCTGATTTTCCTTTGGGTTACTGGACGTGCAATGGAGCTTGGACGGGAATGGTAAGTATATAACTATCTTTTAGTACCTTGGTACACAGTTTATCTGCTCTGCACTAGAAGCTATGAACAAGCTTATTTGAGTGATTTTCACCTTGCAGTTTAGAACTTTGGGGATACAAGCGTGTCGAGGAAATAATATGGGTAAAGACTAATCAACTTCAGCGAATAATTAGGACTGGGCGAACGGGCCATTGGCTCAATCACAGTAAGGAGCACTGCCTCGTTGGAATAAAAGGGAATCCAGAAGTAAATAGGAATATTGATACTGATGTCATTGTTGCTGAAGTTCGAGAAACAAGCCGCAAGCCGGATGAGGTTTGTTTAACATTCTATAATCTTTGATGATCAACCCATTTCACTTGAACAATACTAGTTTGTCTCTTTAGATAAGACTTTTCATTCTAATGCTGGCTTGACACATGCTAGTGGCTAAATATTTTTCTTTTTGTGATTTGAATGTCACAAGTATTGTTTTCTGCAGGGTTGTTTCAGTTCAATATGTCTTGTCATTACTTATGCAAATTGATTCAAAATAATTTAATTCTTCCATATCTTGTATATGATCGAGGTCATACAAATTTATTCTGGCAGATGTACCCTTTGCTGGAGAGAATAAGTCCAAGGACAAGAAAGCTGGAATTGTTTGCTCGAATGCACAATACTCAAGCAGGGTATGCTTTCTTGACTCATAGTTTTTCTTATTTTTAGATGATTTTACGTTTCTCGACGCATTACTGAAACTGATCTTGTCCAAATTAAATTTGATATGATGAGGGTGCCAACTGGACATTTTTTAAGGGCTTACGACCGTGGACCATCTTCATTTTAAATAATAGTTTTGGAGACTCCCAAAGCTGAAGCAATCTGATGGTGTAGTTCTTTGAATTTGAGTTTTTCATTAGGACAATAAGAGTTACCTCTTTTGAAACCAACCAAAAAAAAAAAAAAAAAAAAAAGTTGTGTTGCAATTCCTTTCTGCATTCACTTATGACCCTTGTCTATGAAAATTCAGGCATTGAAAATTTCCTATTATGTCATGAAAGAAAGTTTTTGCAGGTGAATCCTTTTTCAGCTTCTTATTTAAACCTGGTCTCTTCTTTGTCATCAGGTGGATGTCACTTGGCAATCAGTTAGAAGGAGTAAGATTGGTTGATGAAGGCCTGCGAGCAAGGTTCAAAGCTGCATACCCGGATGTGGCGGTGCAGCCTGTCTCTCCTCCTAGGGCTTCTCCAATGGAAATAGACTCCAATGCTACTCAAACTAGGAGCCCTTTTTCTGTAAATGAATCAAGGTCCTCTGTCATGCAGTTTGCAGACTCCGAAGCTCCTGAGGTTCCTTATGCCTCTGAAGAGAGGCCAATGGCTGTAGATGCTGATATGGTCAACTAAACTAAATTAAATGCCGAGATTACCAGGAACTTTATTCTTCACCAGCTCACAGTAGTTGAGAGCCAATTTTTCAGTTGTTCCTGTGTTTTCCTTTTCTTGTTTTTTAGAATTTTGCGCACTAGAGTAGAAATATGTGTTATACATCTGAGGTTCCCCATTAGTCAAGGCTATTTTTGTAAACCCATATGGCAGAGCATGTAAAGTTCAAATTTCTTTTAGCAATCGGTCATTTTTGTTATTCTGGGCAGTCCCAAGATGAGCAGGGCCTAGGGTATTACCAATAACCAGCAGCAATCCATTAGAAACAACTTTGCACTGAACTGGAAGCGACAATTCTATTTGCTGTTAATTTGTGAGGCCCCAGCATTGGCTACTGTACCCACAGAGATAACAAATTAGAAGCTGTCAGCACCATGTTCACAACCAGCTGGCAATTATAAATTAATGGAATTGGAAAAAGCCTTTGTTCCCTCCATGATATTAGGCGGTGCTTTTCTTGGATGTATAATTGTATATATGGTTAACTTTGTTGTTTTTTTAACCTGGAAATTGGTGTTTTCTTTTCTTAGAAGACTGAGCAACTTTTCCTTTTTACAAGCTTATAGATTCTCTTTTGCTATTCAAACTCAAAATATAGCATTTATTATTCAAAAGAATAATAATTTGATTTCTTAAATAGTAGAAAAGAATTACAATATAAAAAATTATCAGATGAACCAACACGCCAAAATTCATAGAACCAATTATACAGAAAACTGTAATATGCAAAAAATGTGAAGAATTACAGCAGAAAAGTAGCTGAAATCTGAATAGTTATGCGCTTCACATGATGCCACTGAATATTGCAGATGCTGTTGATGCAATAACAGCTGTTAAGAAGACTGAAAAACTTAGCTGCAATGGTGAAGAAGAAGTAGAAGGTGGCTGTGGAATTGGACCAAACACAGTAGGGTAAGATGGTGCAGAGTCAGGCAATGCACCGGGATCGGAAGAAGGAGAGTAAGCAGACACATTCCCAACAGTTATATGTAGTTTCTGCTTCTTTGCACAATACCCCGGCTCTCCACTAGTGAAGTAAAAATCCCCATTTGTAGTTACATTAAACAAAGAGTTGCCATTGTTCATGTGCAGGATTGGATCAGTAATGTTACATGAATTATAGGATGATTCAGTGACTTGAATCACTGAATCTTGACTTGGTGGGTACAAAAACACTGCAATATTAATCAGAATAAGCATAAAGGTTATCAGACGAAAGCTTATCAATAACTTTTTCATGGCAATCAAGATAAAGAATGCAAGATCTCGAAGAACTTACAGAGAGAATCTCCAATCCTGAGGTTGTTGTACTTGGACCACTTGGCGTAGACCAATGGATTTGCAGAAGTGGGAACTCCCCAAGCATGTAAATCACCAACCTTGTACTGATAACATAACACTTTGGTTTGTACAAACAAAAGAAACTGAAAAGCAAACAATAAGTGAAATCTACAGCTTCTAAGATTGGCCATCTTCCTTTTGCTCTCAAACTAACTCTTTCCTTTCTCAAATTTAGGAGCGAGTCAGGACACTTGAAGGCCAAATCTTATTGGATTTTAATTGTATAGACAGATTGCAGAAACAGGGACAAGTTGAGTGCTCATTTACCTGAATGCCCTCTCAGAGTAAAATAAGCAAGTTGTGTTTAACCAAGTCTGACCCAGTTATCAAAGACATGGATAGAGAGGGAAAATCATTATTTTAAAGGGCTAAGATTGAGAAAAGAAAAAAGATAAATTATATGGCTAATAATGGCACATGGGCCAGTTGGATGGAGTTAGCAAATGGTATGTTCTGTTTTGTCAAATATAAATTTCATTGAATTCAATTATCAATTCATCATGTCATGTGGAGAGGACAGTGAGACTTGTCTGCTCTCACATGGTAACTCCTCTGGGATTACCATCTCCAATAGACACTTTTGAACTCCATTTACAGCAAAATGGAAATGCAGCCGTCTCCTTGCCTCATTATACCATGAGGCCATCAATTTCTTTATTTATTTATTTTTTGTGACTAGGGGTTGTCCGAACCAGTTTGCGTACACTTTAACTAATCTCTCAGAACCTTGCAATTGATAGCCAGGTAAATCCCCTCAATGGTAATCCCTATTATCACTCTATGTGGATCGAACTCAGGGCTTCTTAAGTAATACATCCAAGAGACCTAGTTGACCGTTGGGCCACCCCGTGGTAGTTCAAGCCATCAAATTCTGTATTCAACAAGAATTGATGGATTAAACTTTAAAGAAAGGGAGATGGACTTATAAATCCCATCCATAAACTGCGCATTCAAACTTTATGAATATGACAGCGGAACAGCTGATTCAAGAAAGAGCAATCAGAAAAATTAAGAAACATACATATCGGAGAAAAGTTCATTTTGATTATATCAATTCTGAGATGAATTCAAAGGTACTTTAATCTGTGCACAGAGCAATGTAACACATTTCTGTATCAACATTTGAGGAGATATATTGAGACGTTGTGCAGCGTAAGTCTACAATACTTGGAAAAGAAAGAAAAGTGAGAAAAAATAGCTATCTAAAAGCGCCAAGTCTAGTCATTCTTTCACCTTGGAATAATTCCAGACTTTGTACTCACGGCTTGAATGTCCATAGTACTGTAATATCAATAAGGACTGAAACCCATAATTCTTCCTCTCTTCAATAATTACATTGCAGTTTGGAACAAAAACAAGAAGATGGCAGGTTGCAAACTTAATTCAGAAGTTTTATTCCTCAAACTGAATCAAATATTCAGAGGTTCTGTCTCTGTATCTCTCTTCATTGCTGTCCAATCTTCTGATCCTGTAACAAAAAAAATGTATCCATGATGAAGGTTTCTCACAGAGAAAAATGAGAGGCAAAATACCAAAAATATTCCGGAAACGGGAAAGGCTGTCAGGAAGTTTAGGCTAATAAATTAAGTTTTATGACATAAGAAATAGTCTCGAACTTCAAGTGTTTATAAGTGTACCATGGCCATTCAGCCCTGCTTAACTATGAAATTGAGGAAATAGCGGGATTCCAAGGCAAACAGAAACTTACTCGACTTTTGACCTTCTGCAATCACCATTAGCCGCCTCTGCAGTACAGATGCCATGACGAGGAAAATCGAGCACATGCCAAACATGATGGTGATGGGAAATGCATCAACCTTCAAAAAAGATTCAGCCATTTGTAATAGCACAGGAAAGAATAACTGCTTTGCTCCCTTTCGGGGTGGGGTGAGGGTTTAAACCTCCAAATATCTTGTGAAAGTTCATGCAACTATGTCATAGAACTCTGATCTCATTTTCCAATAATAGTAACATCCAAAATTCGGTATCAAAAGAAAGGAGAAAAATAGAGTAAAACATTAATAACATTTATCAACTCACATTGTACAACACAATGCAGACAAACATGTTGAGAGGAATGCGAAAGAAATTCATGATGGTGCTCCTAGCCTCCTCGGGAATATATTGGGACCTCATCTTCATGATAGATGGCCAAAATATCCCCACACAAGCTTCAAATGTGCAGAAGCCAAGGAGCTGAATGCAGCCAGAAAATGAAATGCCACCACCTTTTGTGCCAGAAGGTATATCCAAGAACTGTTGAATAAGAACCATCAGTATTTCCACAACAGTTCAATTTAAAATTTGCAGAGTTAAAAAAGAAGACAAATAAAAATAGAGGAAATAACACCCCAACATACATTTGTTAAAATGGGAAGCAGGAGAGAAGCCGCAGAGACTACAAAAACAATCTGCATATAGCTCTCAACTCTTGGAGATGAACGGGCCAAAAGTCGAGCGGCAAATGAGCTTCCCAACATTGAAGCCAGCATGAAAGTTGCGAATATGAACCCATGTGGTATTTCCTCATCATTTGGGCTCAGGGCAGGAGTCCAAAGGAACACAAAAGTGTACATTGAACCTTCAAATAGAGATTGTATAGCGCCCAACAATGCAACCTTCTCATCTGATCCCACATGGAATGTTATATTAACAGAACTTTCCAAAATGTTTTAAAGAAAAGTAAGTAGAGAATGAAAGAGAAAAAGGTTGGGGGGTGTTGATGACATGATGAGGGTCTCCATATCCTCTTGGTATCTATCTCATCTATAAAACTTTTATAAATATACTACACTTAAATGGAAAATTAGATTTGGCAGCCTGCAAATAAAAGGGCTACAAAGCTAAGCATACCAATAGTTTGTGATAGTAGGTGTATGAATATTCAACTGATTTAATTTTCTGTAGAAGACAGAACTTAAAAGGATGAGATTAGAGATTCACCAGAAGCAATGGCAACAGCAGCACTCCTGAACTGGGCAAGCAAATTCTTGTTATCTGAAGAGTCTCCAAAGTTCTCAGTCCACGATGACAATATAATTGCCATGCCAATGGCAAGAAAGCATGCAGCCGCGTCAAAAGGAGCAACTGGGCTTAAGCCCAGAGTATCAACCAGTAAATTAGCAAACAACCCAGAGATAATAGCTACTAAACCATTTCCAAGAAATACAGCCTTGGAGAACGTTATTGAAAGCCATTGTTGATCAAAACCCCTCTGAAAATTAAAAAAAGGGCAACAAGAATGAAACAAAATACTTCTACAAGGAAACCTGAATGCAAAAACCTACTGCATAACTCTGGTGGACCTCAAAGAGTTCTTGGATAGACAACCCAGCAACCACAAGAAGTTTTTGATCCATGGAATTTCAGTGGAGAGAACAGTCTTACATTAAAACACCTTTATCTTGATCTGTGTTTTTCAACCCCTGCCAGCGCCACCAACTAATTCTAACCGGAAATGTGATACATAACCTTTTTAATGTACAACTTATAGTAATAGACAGTTGATGACAGCTCTATAAGCCATTCGGTAATATGCTTCATGATGTGATGAATGTAAAATAGTACACACTTCTAACTTTGCAAAGAATCCACTGGAGCAGGATTTAACTCAAAACACAAACACATATACAGCACAGAATGCCTTTCAAGAAATCTAAAAGATTAGATTATTTAAGAACAGAATAGAAATTCATTAGTCAAGCAACGACAGACCTTATTGTGCTCTGCAACAAGCCAAGACTCAAAGGCTGAGAAGAGTAGAGAAGTGGCAATGCCTCCCAATATACGTCCCAACATCAAAACTTTGTACTGAGGAGAATGTTTGGTGATGCAGCTTAGGATATAAGTCATACAGTAAGTTACACATGCTCTCCTGCGGCCCCTAAATTTGGCATACAATTTACTTGTAATTTATTAATTCCAACCCATCCCTAACGCGGTACAATAATATAGCAATCCAAATATGATCAGAAAAGGTTGTACCGTTTGTCAGCCAAGGACCCAACAATTGTTCCAAAAAACATAGAGGATGCAAAACCAGCAATAAAGAGCTGCCCAATATCTCCTTTACTATATCCGTACTGGCTGTAAAGGTAGTAAACATAGGGACCCTGCAGCCAATCTCCGGCTATAGCCCAACCAATTTAATTAGCTATGGGAGAAGACCAATAATTAATAACATCAACGGAAACTTCCCCCCATTTAAACAAAAAATTCTGACAGCCTCGCTATATTCATTTTCCCAATGTCGAAAGCTAACCAGAAGCTTAACATATGATGATAAAAAAAATTAAAAATTTGAATACACATTGGTTTAGTTTTCAATATATGCCCTAGATCATCAACAGAAAGACACAGCATTGAAGGCACGTCATAAAATATGAAAAAGAAATTGAGAATTGAGAGAGATTACACATCATGAGAGAGTAAACAAGGAGGTAGTTGTTCTTGAAAACATTGAAAGAAGAGGGGGTATTGATTCGGTCTTTGATGCTTTTGCTAAGCTCCAAGGCAGCAACAACTGCCGCCAGAAAACCAAAAACAAGAAAGTAAAAGGCCTCCATTTCTCTGTTTTCTTCAATTCTCTTGCAGCAGCAGTTTGATATATGTATTGTGTAAAGAGAGAAGGAGAAGTAATGTTAAAAGTGACTTGGCATCAACTAATTAACCGACATACGAGGTGGGGTTGATTTGTCATTCAAGAAAGTGCCCCCTCTCAATCTGTTTTGTCATTTCCCGTGAATCTGTAGCCTACTCTTATTAATTATTAATGGTTTTTTTTTT